CATCTCTCTAATGTGAATAGATGGCTTGATATGCGTAAAAGATTGAAGCTAAATGAAAAATTGATAAAGTTCAGCACGAGCAATTCAAGACGGTATGTAATGCGATTGATAAAGTTCAGCATGGTAAATGAAAAAATTGATAAAGTTCAGCACGAGCAATTGATAAAGTTCAGCACGATATGTAATTATAATACTTTAATTTTGTCATTTATTTTTTTCTTTTAATAATATTGCGTTAATTATTATTTAGATATAATTAGTTTACATATGTGAATTTTTTAGATCATTAAATAAAAGATTTTTAGGGTCTTTCCCAGGCTGATGAATCCTCGGGACCGGCCTTGGCGGAGCCAACACCACCACCTCACTCCAGTCCCATTGCCCATAATCACAAGATAACACCTCCACCGTGAACCCATCACCACCACCATCGGTGGTGGTGTCCACCGGCACAGGGACACGCACCACCCTGAATCTATGGCGGGATAGTTGGTCCATAAATAAAGCACAATCAGAGTCCTGTGGTTTTTAGCCCCTTAGGTACTCAGTAGTCCTTATTAACAACAGGATCACATATCATCCCAAGTACAACTTGGCCACCCTTGGAGGGGGCAGGAGGCAGCTGGATCCATTGCTTGATTGCATAAATGATAGACACCCTCATCCACATAGTTTTTACGAGGTGAGCATAGTATCAAATTGTCACAAGATGCCAAAATGTTTCCTCCACCTGCCATTCCATCATTAAAACATGGCAGATGATCAACAGAGATTGATAGCGCTCCCGACCGTTCACCGCCTTAGGGTGTAGAATCAATTTACTAACGTAGCACTTGGGTTGGAGCTCATCGTATTTTGCTCCTCCTCCCTCCAGCTTCTCTTCAGCTGTGATGACCATCGTTGTTGTAAACCTATAAGTAGACCACCAATATTTAACCATTAGGGACTAAATTTGAAACACAATATTCAGGTTAAATGATTGATTACTGACTGGTTTTCAAATATAAAGACCACAAATGTAATTTCCGGAAACTGCAGAAAGCCCGCGATGAACAGCGACCAATCCACCCCTACCAGACAGCAACCCGGCGATCAGCAACATGGCGAGCCCAGAAGTGCAGTAGCGATCAGAGGGGTTACGGCAGAGAACAGAGAAGAAAGAAAGAAAGAAAGAAAGAACTAGAAGATGGCAGAGAGAACGACGTGAGCATCAAAACATCAAATCCAAATTCAAAATTTCCAAATCAAATTCCCAATTCAATTCATTCAATCAAAAGAATCAATAATTCAATTCACAAATTCAACATCAATTGCCAAGAATATATATTCATGAATCATTTACACCACATCTAATTAGAGAAAATCAGATCTAATCAGATCAGATCAGATCCAATCAGATCATATCAGATTCAATCAGATCAGATCAGACCCAATCAGATCAGACCTCATCAGATCAGATCCAATCAGATCAGATCAGATCCAATCAGATCAGATCCATTCAGATCAGATCAGACCCAATCAGATCAGATCAGAACTTCAAAAATTCAGATCAGATTCAATCAGATCAGGAGTACGGAACAGAGCCTTAAGGAACAGGGGGACGTATATATTGTTGTTGGGTGGGCTTGGGCTTTTTCCAAATTCCAATTGCTCCGCATAGATTTAGGAATGGGGAAATTATTATTATTATTATTATTATTATTATTATTATTATTATTATTACTCTGTATTATTGTTATTATTATTATTATTATTACTCCGTATTATTGTTGTTGTTATTATTATTATTATTATTACTATTGTTGTTGTTGTTGTTGTTGTTGTTGTTGTTTTTGTTGTTGTTGTTGTTGTTGTTGTTGTTCTTATTATTATTATTATTATTAAAACTACTACTACTATTATTACTATTATTATTATATTATTGAAATATTTATATTTATTTATTAAACTATTACGCCTATTTCTCTCATAACTTTTTGCATTCAGTTCTAAGTTTGAAAAATAATATGTTGTTTGTCACCTTTTCACAAAACCTAACCAATGATATCAATATTGAATATATATTTTGACTATATGACATACTTCTATTTTATTTGTTTACTTTATTATCTATTCAATTTTGGCCAACAAAGCACCAAGATTCCTAACTCAGATATGTGCGCGAAATATGTCATTGAACTCACCTTATCATTCAATTCGAATATAAAAGGCGGCCATTGAAGGGTTGGGAGCGACAGAGACGCAGCGAAGGTGTGGTAGAGGAGGAGGTGCTTGACAAACCAATATTTATTAATAATTTTGTACCATTATTTATTAATAATTGTATTAAATTTATGATCATAGATTATTAATTTTGACAACAAAAAATTGAAAGTGAAGTATCACTCCGAGACGCAGTTCTTGGTGTTCTCTGTAAATTGTTTTACTCGAAGTGTTTATGAGATATATTATGTACTAAACTCAATCTATAAAGAAGTTTTTGACATTGAGGATATATACTTCATATTTTTGATCAAATGGGGAGGGGGAAAACCCCGAACTAACTCGTCTCCTCAGGAGAAGTAACTCTGCGAATTCTGGTAACGCCTATCTTGTCCCTTGTAATGATGTCCTCCATCCCAGGTGGGGGAACTTCATGCTCAATCCAATCAGCATGCTGAAAAGCTCCAATACTAGCCATGTGGTCAGCCGCAAAATTTTGTTCGCGGAATATGCTCTTTATCTTGATCCTTCTATACTTAGTTTGCCACTTCTTAATGTTATCAACGATGTGACGAGTAGGTCCTCTAATTGAATTATTGTCAGCAATCCATGACAGAGTATAGGATTTCAATTTGACGTTTGCGACGATGCAATCAGTGACAGAATTTACTCGCCTACCAGTATTAACCTCGGATTTGCCATTCCATCGTTTCATATACGCGGGAAGTACTCCGCACCATATTTGATGATGGAAAAGTTCTGTCTCCCGTTTGGGGATAGAAAAAAAATTATCGCTTAATGCTAGTCAAGTAAAACACTGCGTTTCGATTTGACAATGGACATATTCCGTCGCTACCTTCTTTCTGTCGCCAACAATCAGATATTATATATATAATTAAAAATTGAGAAATCAACTAAAACACAAAAACTTAATGAAATAAAATGATAATCAATAAAAAAATTAACCTCATACTAATAAGAAATAAAACTAAAAATAGAAATCACCCTAAATATAACTAAAACATGGAGAAAAATACCAAAATATGACTTTCATGTTTTTTTTTCGAAATGTAACATTGTACATGTGCACCTTACTATACTTTTTGGTAATGTACACGCTCATGTTTGGTAATGTAATGCATTTTAAGTCCTATTTTGAGAATAAAAACATGAAAATATATTCTATGTTGGTATATTTTCAATGTTTTAGTTCTACTTTGATCTTTCTCTCAACTAAGAGCCTGTTTTTTAGGGCTTGAACTCTTAACTTCCAATTTCTTCCAGTTTTTTCCAGTTTCTTCCAGTTCTTCCAGATCCTCCCAGTTTCTTCCAGTTCTTTCCAGTTTCTTCCTGTTCCTTCTAGTTTCTTCAAACTACTCTCATTTTCTTCAAACTCTTTCTACTCCTCAACCAATTACTATAAAAACGATATATTTTAATGTGATTATTATTATTACTACTATTATTATTAAAACTTTTATGTTCATAACTATAGTTTATAATATTTTTTTCATCTCACTATTTTACGATTCACACTCATAATTTTTTTCTTCAACTTTTTCATATGAATAAGACAATTCTTTGTATATTAGTCTACATGATAAAACAGGAAAACATCAATATGTTAAATTATACTAAAGAATTATGGATAAAATAGTTACATTGAATGTTTTATTAATATAACTTTTTATAAGACATCTCAGTTTTCCCTTTATTACTTAAAAATTGCTCATTTTTCTAATTTTTATAAAAAAAATTGTAAGTCAAAAGAGCTTAGAGAAAAAGACTAAAATATGAGTAAAACATAAAAAATGTAAACAAAAAAGTTCGATGTCTTTATTCCAAAAATAGGAATTCAATGAAAATAAAATGTCAATAATGAAAGAAACAATAGGTTTGATTATGTGACATGTATGATATTTAAAACAAAATGTTTTAATATATAAATTATAATTACAAATATATTATTTATAATAAATACTGCATAAATAAATTGAGGTGCAATATAACTACACAGCCTTTTTAAAATTTAATATTTTTATTATAATTATTTTTTGTAAAAGTGGTTTTTTGTATTTAAAAAATAACAATACTTTTTTTTATATCTTAAAGACATTCACTAAGATAATGTGATGATGATGATGATGATGATGATGATAATGATATGATAATGATATGATAATGATAATAATAATAATAATAATAATAATTTATAACAACAAGAATTTAAAATAAACATTTTTAAAGTTTTTTTAGGTTTTCTAGTTTTTTTCCAAATCCTTCCAGTTTTTTCTAGTTTTTTCCAGTTTTTTCCAGTTCCTTCCAGTTTTTTCCAGTTTCTTCTAGTTTTTTCCAGTTTTTTCCAGTTTCTTCCAACATCTAGCTCTTTTTTATAGTTCTAAAGAACAGGCCCTAAATAGTCTCAGTGGTTGCCACAAATCATATACGGAGTATTTATTGGAGTATTACAATGTACTCCGTAGCATCTAAATAGTTTGAAAAGTACTCCCTAGCCTTTTATAAAGGTCTAGTTATCATATTTAAATGATTTGTTTGAAAAGTACTACCCCTACAATATCTTTTGTTAACTTTAATAGTCAAACATAAAATCAAAGAATATGTCAAAAGAGTTGGACAATCAAAATTGGTTAGCTTACTTTGCTCCTAATCCAATACAAAGTTAGTTGACAACATAAGCACTGCCTTTTGTCTTCAGAGATTGGTTTGGTACCATAACAAAGTTAGAAAACTGAAAACCAGTCAGAAAAAAGGTACTGAAATCATCTGGCAACCCATTTGGAGCCCAATTAGTTTTATTTGAAGAAGAAAAGAAGGCACAGGGGACCATGCAAATGTCATGAACAACTGCACCAGGCAAAGAGCACTTTGTTTCTCTATTTAGAAGCCTGCCATTTTACAATCAACATTAGGCAAACCATATGTCTATGTACAGTAACCAAAAGACCACTAAGAACATCATAGTATAACATCATCATATAAAGGCCAAAAAGAATCTCAGTTCAAAAACTCCAACCACACAAAAACTTGATAGTATAATGTTTGTTTATTGCCCAGAAACATATCTCGACGAATTATATGGAGCTCAGGTGCTGAAATGGAGCGTCCCAATGCAAACCATTCAAAAATTTTCTGCTAGTTTGGTCATCAATGCTCGGCGTAGCTGATCATGAGTGTAGAATCTATGGGCAGGTCCTATCCTCACAGCGGCTTGTTGGATCATCAAGTCATTCACGACTGAGACGCTGGCATGGGTAACATCCAAGTCTAGCTCCTTCAGTGCCACCATGAGGCGGGCGGCAGGGTGGTGGTTGTTTTTATTGCATTGTATCCGGATCATCGCGTCCCAACCCATGATCTTCACCTCCACATCCATGTCTTGCACCACCACCACCACCTGGTTTGGTGGTGGTGGTTTCTTGGATGGTGGCTCCTCTTTGTTGCCACTCAGTTCCCTCAATCTCATCTTCAAGTCCTCTATGTAGGATTCCGAGTTCTCAAGCTTGGATTTGAGCTCGTTTATGTACGCAATGGCGTCCCCAAGGAGGGAGGCTTTGTCCATTTTTGAAACATTTGGGACCACGGCTCGCAACGAGTAGAATCTTTGGTTCAGCTTCTCCCTCCTCTGCCTCTCTGCCTCCACGTGGTTCAGTGGCTCCTCTCGCCCGTTTGCCGGTTTTCTCCCCCTCTTCCTCGGCCGTTTCTCCCCCTCCACCTCCACCCCTCCTCCTCCTCCACGGCTACTCTCCGCCTCCTTCACCACTGAGACTTCTACATCTGATTGGTCCGAAACAAATGAGAGCATTCCTTCCTCATTGCTCGCCCTAGACGTGGCGGGTCTTTTTACGTTTTTTCCCTCGTCCGCTCCAGCCCCAGCCGGAAAATGGCCGGAAAATGGATTCCCGTTCTCGCCTGTCTCGGGTTTGCAAGAATGTGATGAATTCCCAAACTCAAAGGAATTGAGATCCTTTGGTGAGTACCCTTTTGTTTGTTGGGATTTAACTTCGAGATTGTGATTAAGGGCGATGGAATTCTCACTGCCAAACACGATTTGTTTTACGCCGCTGGAAAGATATGAATTCTCTTGGACTGATGTGTTGGAGGAATCTTTCACCTCAACGTAGGAAGAGGTTGGGTGGGTGAGCCAGGTGGCTGAGGGGTCGGCTTCCGGCGGCCAGGAGATCGAGGTCGGGACGGGATTATGATTGTTGTTGTTGTTGTTCAGATTGAACAGGAATCTAACCTTGTTCGCCAATTCTAAGCTCTGGTGAATCAATTCAGTGGATCCGAGTTCAACCACTCCGTTGGGTGAGGGAATACAGACCATGGTTTGGAGTCCGAAGCTCTGCGCTTGCCGGGCTCGCTCGCAGGGAGACGAAGCGAGGTTATCCTGGCCGGAGATCCAAATTGGGCTCGAACTGGAGAAGGCCCGACCCGGGAGACCCGACCCGGAAGCAAAGGAGTGGGTCATGGAGACGAGAAAAAACCACTCGGTATCGGTGACTTCTTCGTCCACGGAATCGTCGCCCGATCCAGGACCGGCGATGAGTGAATTGAGATCGCGGAGAACCCTCTTCCGGTGAGCCTGTTCGGCGGGAGACGTCGCCTTTCGCCTCGCCCTGGCCTTGTCGTCCTCACCCTTGTAGTACCCGTCGCCCCACCCCAACAGCGACGGAGATGCCAGTTCAGCCACCGACGCCTGCCAGAAAATCGCGTAGGTCCACGACTCCCGGGCGCCGTCGATCACGATTTGCAGGCGCTGCTGGAGGGTCTCCTGGCTGAGGACGACCGAGGAAGCGGCGGCGGCGGCGGCGGAGGAGGACAGATGATGAGGCGGGCCCAACGCAGCCCGATGGAATTTACCGGCAGGCGAGACCCAGAAGGGAGGCTGATCGGAGGAAACGAATGCATCCATCATGGAAGCGTTGTGGCCGGAGGAATCGGCCCAGAGATTCATCTCCGGTAGGCTGTAATCAGTCATTCCATAAGCAGCGGCGGCGGCGAGAAAACAGAGGTTTTAGAGAGAAAAAGAGGGAGAGAATAATGTGAATACAGTTATAGGCGGCTATGATGGACGAGACTGTGTTTGGTAGGCGAATAAATTGGAATGGAGAAGATATGGATGATCCTGAGAGCGGAAAATGAATGGGGGTAAGGCGCCGCGGATTCCACCAAGACTAGTACTCTCCCTCGTCCTTTATAAATTACACTTCTAAATCTAATAGTTGGAGCATTGTATGTCATTTGAATTTTGAATGGAATAGTATAACAAAAATCTAAAAAAAATTGGAGTTGAAAGATTAGAATTTAGAGAGTAGAGTCTAGAGTTTTAGTATTGTCTAAAAACCGATACCTAAGAGCAACTTCAAAGGACAGTGTATAATTGAGTAAATGCAAAAAAAATAGATGGTATACTCTTTACTATTCAAAAAAGGCTCTCCAACGCATTTTTCAAGAATACACCATAGGTTATTTTTCCATTCCTAGCTTGTAAATATAGCAGGTCCAATAAGAAGTGGAAAAGTCCATCTCAACTCCTTCTAGCCGCAACAGATCAACCCCTACCATCATCTTCAAGTAAAAGTCATCTTCTTCCGCTACGACAATTCACTCTTGACGAAATTGACAATCTTTGATATCACACCTTTCCCCTTCTGTGTTGAGTAGGTCATCAGAAGTTTGAATCTCGCAAAAAACAGAGCTTCCTTCTTCTGCTCCATCTTCTTCTCAGTATGTTCTTCTTCCCTAATTGCCTCCATTGATTTGCCCATCAAAATATTAAATATTATAAATTAATTTGAAGATTTTATAATAATGAACAGTTATAAAAAAAGTATAATATAGAAGATGTGGTTGGAGTGAGTACAAAAAAGTGGAGATGTAAAACACTATTGATAGTGTAAAATAAGATTTACACTACCATTTGTTCCACTATGGGTTGGAGATGCTCTAAGAACATTTCTAAAAACATTTTTATGGGGGGTGTGGGAAGTGAATTGTTTAGCTAGTAAGTGGAAATTATTAGAGGAACATGGAGATGGAAATTAAATGGGGGAATAAAACTCTTGATAGTATTAATTACTTGGATCAGACTTATTGTTTTAGATAGGGTTTAGAATGATACTGAGGGGGAACAAAAACTTCGTTCGTTCCATCTCGCCCAGTAAAAATGACTCTAAACGAGATTCGTTATTTCTTATCGAGAGATACACTATGGTCTATGATTATTGTTTGCGTAATATCATTAAACCCCATGGTAGGTTCTTGCTCAGCTTTCACTATAGCTCTCTCAAGCTTGTGGAATGCTTCCCCCTTCACCTTCTTAAGGTCCTAGTGTGCGAGCACTATTGTATCCTCCCGGGTCAACTCACCCGAACATCTACTACCTTCTTTATTAATTCATAAATATCTATTGGCTCAAGTAAATCCCCATATTCCTTTGCCTTTTCGATCACATGCTCGACGTCAAACTCAGGATGAAGGATTGTTTAGGGTTTGTAGTCTTCTCTGGCCACCGAGAAAGGGCTTTCATATCTAGTCTCTCTGGCTCAAAGAATGGTTGGAAGCGCTTGTTCACTTTTGTTCAGTTTCCCTAGCTCAATTCCCCTTCATGAACAACCGCTAGATTGATCGCTCAAAGGTCTAAGTGAAGTCAATTCCTTTTGACACTCTTTGGGCCTTGGGGAAACACCTTAGCGAGAGGGATGATGATATAGGGGGGTTGTACGTAGAATCCTAACATGTGGAAGGTAAACCCGGGCAATCACGAGGATCTAGTGGCCTAGATGTTTGAAGATACAAGAGCCGGTTGACCACTTAGCATCGATCCTCTCACCAAGATCGTCAGGTAAAGGTCATGTTAAGCTTGCAATGATATGGCTCGAGCCTCCCACCTAGGTCACACAAGGTTCATTGTGTTCATGTTTATTTTAAGTGTCTGATCTAACCTAATTTATTTGTTTTACAGATATGATCTCTAACTCCCTTTGTGATCTCGCCTCTCGCAAGGTACCAAAGAAATAAGAGGTCCGACTCTAGGTCCAATGCCAAACCACACAAGATGCGACCTCGGGATAACTTGCCCAAGATATGGCTCATGATCAACCTATGAAAAGCCTAGCATAGGATCAGCCTACGCATGATGCCCCTTGGGATAAAGGCATCTTGATCTTAGGGTCCTTGGAGATAAAGCCTTGCCACGACTAAGTCCCGGGTGGAGAGAAGTTTGAGCCAAAGGTTTAGCCTCCCCTCGAGTTGGGGCTTTCTAATGTGGAGATAAGTCCACCTAAATAGTCCTTCGAGACCTCAGAGAAAAGGGGTGGATAACAATCAGTCGGGGAACCCTTTGGGCCTAAGGGCCTAAAACTGACCCGTAGGGACCCGGTTGTCATAGAGCATACAGTGGAGGAACTCTTCAAGACCTTCTTAGGAGACCTGCATGCCCCAAACAATTTGTTTCCCTATCCCTCAAATTAAGTTCTTTTTTGCTTCTACAAATTTTTCTTAGCACTCTAAGCAAATAGTAACCATCAAGCAAGAGTTCGCAACTTGGGTGATTGTGCCGGGATGACGAGATGACTCATTGGAGGCCATGATACTTTAATGAGATTGAGAGGCTATTACACCCATAAACCTGTCCCTAATCAAAATTAATTAATTAATGGGACATACTCGAAGTCTATTTTAAATATTCGTTAATAAAATATAAAAAATATACCGTTGTGTAGGGTTCGACGAGACGAATCCAACGGTATCGGACCTGAATTCGAAGCAAGTTGGCCCGAAAAGTGTATTTCTATCGAGGTATGTTATTTAATTACGGAGCACAATACCCTATGATCATATATACTGCTCTAATCGCCTAAACCGACCAATTGTCGCCCTATCTCTCTTGTCTTGCAAACAGAATAGAGTCGACAAGGAACGAACAACGCAGAGCAACAAGGAGGAAGAAACAACAAGGAGGAGGAAGGAGAAGAAGAAGAAGGAAGAAGAGAGGGGTCGCCGCTGCCCGTTGCCACCATCTCCACCGTCATCTTTGCCGGTTTCTTTCCTTGTTTTCTTCGTAGTTAATCTTTCGTCAATTTGAGGTGAGTATGTGAACATCAAGTGCTAGATTGTATGTAAGGGTTTGAAATTCAGGTTCATGATTTTGTTTGATTGATTTATATGAAATAAAATTCGTTGTTTGAGAAGATTTGAGAAGTGTTGGTGAATTATTTGGGTAGGTATTGCATGATTAGGCGTCAATTACTCAATTGGTTTGGTTATAATATATTAAGGTAAGTTATGTATGTGTTTGGACCATTAATTATGTGAAAGTAGCCTAGGAAGATATGGAATTTTGACTGGTACGATTGAACTAGGTTCAACATAGACGGATGGTAGGCTACTACCGCTGGTCGGTAGCTTGTAACTGCCGGCCGGTAGCTTGTTGCCTCCAGATGGTAGTATGCTATTGTCAGCTGATAGTTCGCTACCGTCACAGCGCGATCAGTGATGTCCGAATTTCAAACTTCCGTTTTAAATGTGAAGGATGTACTCCAAGACTTGTTTGATGTATGATGGTAAGCTTGGGTGTTCACACCCAATGCTAGGCCACTATTTGGATTGTAACACCTCAATCCGTATAACCTGGAATTACACGAATTAAGGTGAAACGAGAGTTAAATAAAAATTTCACTTGACATTTAAATATGACAATTACTTAAAAATATTAAATTTACAGACTCTGGATCGCGACCCATTTAAAAATATTTTCAGAGTAATGCGGAAGTACAATAATAATCAAATCATGACACATTTTAAAATCTGTTGACCAAACATTGCCTGCCATCCTTGCATCTCCTCTGACTCAATGCCCTCCGGGAAAGGTTCCATCATTGTCTTCTTGTTACCTACGTGTAGTCAACGAAAAATACAAACTACACGCTCAGCGAAACCGCTGAGTGGTACCACGCTAGAATTGTAGAATAATTCATAGACATATACGTATATATATGTCCACAAAAATGTATAACAATATTCCTGATATGACACTTTATATCCTATGGTCAATTTGATGAATCATGATGATAAATATTTAATGATAATTGCATGATTATGGCACATTTAATTTAATCAATTTGATTGTTCTTGATGATGATTACATGACGCCTATGTTATCAATATAATTGTTCTTGATGAGGATTACATGATGCGTAATTGATGTTACACATAGTCATGATTATTTTACTTGATGATGACTTCATGCTGTATGATTCTAAGTCAACAAGGAATGACCTTGCAACTATGAGATTCGCCCATTTGGTACGACGAACTCATGTCCTTCTTAGTCTCACGAGGGAGACTAGAAAAATAGAGGTGGTACTCGAAAGTCTGAATACCATGTACGTACACTAAGCCCGGTCAGGGTTGTCGGACTACTAAGTCCCGCACAACCACGCTATAAGAGACGCAATTACGCATGATCTCTTACGCATGCATATGATATGATATGTTACAATATGTGTGATGATATGAGTCATATTATATGAACAATTTGTAAATAATATGAATGGATAAATATACTTTATTTTATTTGGGTGAAATCTGATAAAAATATCATTTAATTAAGCTACGGGGCTCGGAACGGTTGACCGTTTGGCGGGACGGTCGACCTTGATCTTCAGAAGGTCGGATTTGGCGGATCACCGTGACGATCGACCGTGGTTGACCGGCAGTCGACCGTTGTTGACTGCTTCAGTGTGGCTGCATTTGGCTGAGCTTCGGCGGTCGACCGTTTGGCTACGGCGGTCGACCATTCTATCGACAGTAGTAGTCCGTTTTGATGTTTAACACGACGGTCGACCGTTTGCTTCGACCGTTTGGGTCTGCGAAACTTTCTCTTAATATTTTGAGTGTCCAAAATACTTCTTTAAGTCTTTTAAACACCTCTGATTGAAATATACATATTATTGGGTCGATTCCCAAAGTTTATATTTACTTATGTGTATATTAATTTTATGGATTTGGTGCATTTTGGTCTTAACATATAGATGACTTATATATGCATCACCTATATAATTTGGGATGATTTAAACATATGGATTAACATATAAGTTCATGTACGTATGTGATGAATGATTCGACAAGTCTAACGCAAAAATACAGACCTGGAAATCATAGGCCGAAACCTTACGGATGAGCGGGAGTGGAAACAACATCGTAATTTGCCAACTTTGTCATTTCCGTCACAACTGGACAACCTACGGTAATTTGGGCATATCTCCATCGTTTCTTCACCAAATTGCAAACCGTTTGATTCTGTGGATTTCTAAGATGTAAGGCTACAACTTTCGTATAGAAAGTATTTCGTTTTAACATATGTAAGATAGCGTAAATCGGACCTGAAGTCAATAGAAAGTTGCTGTCCAGAATTTCGGGTATGTCGATAAACATGATTCCGACGATTAACTCACTAACTTCAACATTCCAACGCCGAACTTTCTTTGCAATACCTTCCGGATGTTCCTAATAATTGTTAGAGAGTTTATGGTAAGTATTTGGGATGCAATAATATGAATTTTGGTGGAGAAAAACATGCCAACCCGAGGAGCTCGCCACCACTGGCGCAGTCCCGGTATTTTGGCCATATCTTCTTCGTTACTTAACGAAATCGCGAGCCGTTTGTTGGGTTGGATTCGTAACGTCCGGGGCTACAACTTTGGTATAATAAACATTTTGAGAAAATGAACGGAAAATTTCAGAATTGACTCACAAGTGGACTGATTGTCTTATGTTCAGGATTTTGGACACTTGAATGGTTTTCTTGCTCCTTCTTCTTCTTCCTTAACATACTACCATGGAGTTGGAGTTTTCTTTTCTTATTCTTGTTGCTGCCGACAGAGAGAGGGAGAGATGGAGAGATGGAGAGGAGAAGATGAATGTTGATGATGGTGGTGGAACATGATGATAATGATGATAATAATGGTGGTGAAGTATTATAAAAAAAATTTGGATTATTGTGGTGTAGTGGGTGGCTTGTAGACTTTAAGGGATTTCACAAGGTGGCTTACGTGATTGAGAGGAGGTTTTGGAGATTTTCATATATTCTCCTACTCCGTAATTGATAAACTGGCTAAAACGGTACGCGCTTTTTCGCCCAAACTGCTCCGAATTGAAAACGGATTGTGTTTTTCGAATCAGACTGTCAAAATTAGAATTTCGACGTAATCAAAATATTTTTCTAAGAACTTTTATTTTTTTCTCAGTGTTTGGGTCTGTCTTAATCATAAATTAATATAATAATATAAATGATATAAAAATATATGAATTAAATCCAAATGATTAATATGATGTTGTCAAGTGTCAAAAATTAAGATTTCTAATCTTATAAAATCACTTTTGAATTGAGTTTATTTAATGGGTCAAAGTTACAAATTTTAATATTTAAAATTGACATAACTTGAAATCTATAAATCAGATTGGTTTATAAAATGTACCGTTGGATTCGTCTCTTCGAGACATATCCATAAATATAACTTTTTAACAAAAAGTCATTACTTTGAAAATCCATTTATTTTTTGGTCAAACGTATAAATATTTCTTATTGGACAAAAATTACTTTTGTTTTATAATAAATTTTAGGCCATATTTTGTGGCGTTACATGGATAGGGTTTTATATGTCAGATAACCTGATTACATTGCTAGAATTATGAAGGTTATAAATGATTGAATTAATTTACATAAAAGAATTCTAGGACTGACCTGAATGCAATAGAGGCAAGTCATGCCATAAGTATAAAGAGGTTAGAGCAATGTGGTAGGGGTGAGCATGGTACGGTATGGTACGGTATTTAGCTTGTACCAATATCGTACCAAATATTTCGGTTCGGTATGGGATTTTACTCCGTACCGATCCCGATCCCGAAATATCAGTTCGGTATGGTTCGGTATCGGTTTTGGTACAAATCGGGATGAACATACATACCTACTTTACAGGTTACTCCGTAATATTTAACAATACAACATTATTTTTGAAAATTAAAAGTGAATTTAAATAAAAAAACCTAAAAAATAAAAACAAAAGAATATTTAAATGCAAGAGATGTGTATCAAAATTTAGTTTATATTTCACAAACTAAAAAAATGAATGGCGACAAAGGAGTATTTCGAGTCTTTGTGAATACTTTTATGTTCATACACAAAAATTAAAACACAAATAAAAGTATGATTTACACATCATAGAACTTGAACCAATTTTTTTTTAAAAAATTATTATTAAGTGGAGGAATATAAAAATATAACTCCGGGGTATTATTTCTTATAATATTTTAGTATATATGTTCGGTACGGGATTTTCGGTATGGGACGTCACCTCGTACCGTTCCCGAATACCGTACCGACCATTCGGTTCGGTTCCTTCTCGGTACTTTTTCAGTTCGGTATTTTTCGGTTTGGTATTCTCGGTTTTTTCGGGAAATTTCGGTATCGGTTCGGTACTTGCTCACCCCTACAATGTGGTACCTGCTGGATCCAATGTTTATTTGCGTACATATAGATTATGTGTGAACACTTATTAACACTAAGTTTACAACAGTAAACACTTATTATTTTTACTGAATAATATATTTTTAGCTCCTTTCAATTTTTTTATGGTATGTTTGAAAACATGGATTTAGATTTCAAATACAGATTTGACTCAAATTTCATGTTTGAAAAATTTAAAAATTTTGAATATTGATTTGAGTCAAATTCCTCTTAATCATAACAAAGCTTAATTTGAAATCTATGCCCCTTGTCATTTGAAATTCAAGATTTCAAATCTTGGAATTGAAATACATGAATTAAAACGAAATGCTAGTTGCCAAACTCTACCTACTTATTTCATCTCTATTTTTATATATACTCCGTACTCCGTATGAGGTAACAGGCAATACTCTGTAAGTCTGTATATAGCTTTTCTTCCCTTTTTTGAGTACTCCGTATTTTGTTTCTCATTTTAGCGGTTTTACATATCTTTCTCAGGCTGCGTTCCGTTTCATAGGTGCCTCCGTAGCGTCGTTCCCCGAGGAGGCCTCTGTCGATCTCTTTCTCGAATTGTTTGCAAAGCTAATTTTCATTCATACACCTCCTCTTGGAACTCCATTTCCTCTCCCTGCTGCAGCCATGGCTTCCGAGGGTTTCAGCGACAAAAATGGTATTTTCCGGAAGCTTCGTGCGAAAGCAGAAAACAAAGTTCGTATTCTCGATTCTTTCTTATTTATTTTTGCAAATTTATTCTTTTAACCCTTTACATTCTGGATTTATTTTTTAAATATTAAAATCACGATCTTCTGAATTTTTTCATTTAACATTGTCAGATCTGTTTCAGATCTGGCATTTCTGTTACCCGGATCTGCTACTTCTGAACAATTTGTTGATATTTCTCTGTGTTGTTTTGTTGAATTCCCCTACTTCGGTAGATTTGTTTTGATTGCAACGCGAAGAACCCAACATGGGCCTCGGTGACTTATGGCATCTTCCTGTGCATAGATTGTTCGGCTACTCATCGCAGACTTGGCGTTCACATCAGCTTTGTCAGGTGAATGCCTTTACAATAATTGGTAATTGGTCTTGTTGCTTAACCTTGTGTCTTTTGAGGGGTTTTGTAATTCTTATAATCATGGCAGGCTAAATGCTTACCTATTGTACCATTTTACGCGTATATGTCCCCTTTTATCATTTAAATCTTTACATCAGTTCTATACATTCTATTAAATTCATCATTGAGATCACCATTAGCAACAAAAATGGTACAAAGATTAATTTTATCATTGTATTTTCAGAAATTCTTCTTTTGTAGATGTACTTTTTAGTTCCTATGTATTTTGATGTAGTTCTTCTTGAGATCACCATACCAATGAAATAGAGCATGCAAATGTTTTATAGGATTTCAGAATTCAAATTTTACTCTAGAAATTCCCTTTGACAGGTTTGCACAATGAGCAAGGATCTTAGTATTATTAGTTAGAGAAGAGTTTGAAGGTTATAATTTATAAATAATTTGATCTGAAGAACTTGTGTCATGTCAGGTTATGACTGCTATTGGTATATTCCCTGTTTGTTGTACATTAAGATAAAGAAGCTGTCCATTTTAGATACTTGTTAAAGGAATGTTGGAAGTGCAGCTGTCATCTCACGGTCTCACCTAACTAACAAGAAGTCCAGCTGTCCTTCGTTAAGTTCAGCTTTTTCTGTTTCAGTTGGTTAAGTTTGTTTTGCTGTTTATATATACTGGTGTATTTTCATTCTTATAATGATGAACTCTGTTGAAGTAATCCGTCTTCCTTCTTTCTCCTTCATTCTGCGTGAGATCCTGACAGTCCCTTGGAGTGTTTTTGAAGTAAGCTCATGTCCCTAATGGTATCAGACTAGCAGATACTATGGAATTTGCATTAACTTTGCCAATAAAAGTATTATGCATTTACTTGGACTTATTGAGGGATTTTTATTGTGGACAATCCAAGATGATGCAGTCTATTTTTACTGGTATGATATTTGTTTTTTTTTAGATGAAATTTGTAATTGACAATTTAAGACACATGAAATTAAGTGGTTTAAACTTGAAACTAATGCAGAGGAGATAGAAAGATTGTGAGCCACCCCAAGTTTTCCAAAACTGGAAAGAGGAGTCTTTTTTTGTGGACATCCCGAAAAGGAAAAGGAAATAAAGAGTCTTTTTTTGGGACAGAGTACTATTAATAACAAATATTAAAAAAATTCTTTTCTCAAAAGTTTATAAGAATTGCGTTTGGAATTAGAAATTGCATACAACCACTCACTCCAAATTAATCTGTCAGGCTAGGGATTGATCTACTCTTAGTTTTCATGTTAGGTTTTCAGCAATTTGTGGCTCAAAATTCTCTTCTATGTAGGATTGTACTTGTTCAAGGATTCTTATGTAGGTTGTAATAAATGAAGATATCCTAGTTACGAATTGAATCAGCCTAACCTTTTGATTGATTTCTTTGTAAAGTTTTGACTATGTTATCCTCATTGGTCACTGTGTGTAACATCTCATGCTAATGGATGCTTTGTTCCTAAGATAGTTTGACTGCTTACTTACAGTTCTATAATTAGTCACGTCAACCATCAATTGTTGTATCATGTATGATATGTGTAACATGATGTATCATAGTGTATGCCTTCCATTCTGATTTGTATTTATGGAATAATATCATATTTTACTGAGTATTAGATTCTCAATAAGAGTATTATACTTTTGGTCCTTAGACGTTCCGGCTCTTCTACTCTAGGTTCTTGATTTTTTATCATCCACTTCAAGGCAATGTTCATACCACAAATATAAGTAAAACTTTAAAATTATATACAACACTTGAAATAATTTAAGAAAACATCTATTGAACTCCAAGAAACTTACTTAAACCTAACAACTCAACAACAAGTTCACATGCATGATGTTGAATAGTGCATACTAGAAAAAGGGTGAAATGCATTTGATAGATCCTAGATGAATGTAGAAGTTTATCATCAATAGCAACTGGATTGAAATTTGGATTATAACCACTTGTATCTCCTACACAGCATTTATAATAAAAAAGAAATTGAAATCTATATAAAATATTAAATAATATTGAAAAGTTAATTTGGGAATTTGAAAATTGAAATAGAAAATGAAACAAAATTTACAAATGAAATAAATAAGGGAAAAAGTTACATACCTGACAAGTAGTAATAGGGAGGAATTAGTGTAGAAGTAGTGTAGAACAAAAGAGTTTGGCAGAGTTGTGATTGGAAAAGAGAGCCCTTACACAAGTTGGACGTTTTATTTGTTACAACTGGGCAAGGTAGGGTCGTATATGTCGACTATTTTGCACAAAATCTTCATTTAAGTGCTGCTTCCCGCCCCTGAAACGTTTTGGTTTGAGTACTTGGGGATGCTTCCCGCCCCTGTCACTAGCCTCAAGTTTCCTCCCCAATAAAAGCCCAGACATGCGCCTTTTCGCCCTTTCAAACCTTGCTTTAAGGCATAGACCCAAAAATATATATTCCGTATCACTTTGGTCCAAACTACACATTGAAAATTCCGTACTTGCAAATTTTATCTGACCCTATCTCAGACCATTTCAGTTATTTTGGATAAAAAACAAAATGTTTTGTTAAGCGGCTGATCACACGTAAAAAATCAAAGTTGGGGATTACCGGATTAGAAGTGGGAATTCCAGTAGATGAGAGCTAAAAGTAGAATAAACTCATTTCAACAATATTAGGAATTTATTTGCCCGTGCACATTTTTTTTATTATTCATATACTTTTTGTATCTTTTTCAAGCAAGTTCTTTTATGAGTTGTGTTTTATTTAGGTCAACTAATTTAGACTCATGGACTCCCGAGCAATTGAAAATGATGTACTTTGGTGGGAATAACCGTGCTCAAGTGTTCTTCAAGCAGCATGGATGGACGGATGGAGGCAAGATTGAGGCCAAGTATACTTCCAGGGCTGCTGAACTGTACAAGCAGCAGCTCTCAAAGGAAGTTTCTAAAAGCATGGCTGATGATTCAGGCTTACCATCATCACCTGTTGCTTCTCCTGTATCTCCAACTAATGGATTTTCTGAATTTAAGACAAATGAAGGAGATAAAGAAAGTGCTTCTATTAAGGATGAAACTCATGTAGTTCCTGCCTCACCTAAGGCTACTCATTCAGTTGTTTCCACATCTTTCAAGAAGCCTATGGTTGCAAAAAAAGCTGGGAAGTCAGGCGGGCTAGGTGCTCGGAAGCTCACTACAAAGGTATACAAAGTTAACAATCATGGTCAGAGTCTTAGGCCGCATTTGGGAGCACGGGCCTTATACTTTAAACAATGCATCCAGAGTAACCTGCCCACGTTTACTGCCCAATATGGCCCACCAGAATTGCTATACTACACATTCTTACTAGACCTCTTGTATTTTTATTAATATTAACATTATTGGGAAAAGTTCACATAAATACTTTAAAAGATAAGGAATCTTGCAAGACTACGTTCAAAAGACTATTTACATGAATACTTCGAAATTTAATGTAGTTTTGTAAATACTCCCTTCGTCACCAAAGTTGGAACTCCAACCAATTTTTTCCTGTCACTTTTACAACATGGCCTGGGATTGGCTTTTAGATAGAGCTTTCTAGTTTTCTGGGAAAGAATGAAAATTTTGAAGGACTAATTTCTCCTCTAAATTTTAAAGCTGATGAAGTAATTATGTTTTCTATTTTCTGAAATTTGAAAAAAAAGTGATGAACCGAACATGTTTTATGTTTCCATTTTTCTGACAGCAAACAGTTTTTTAGCTTAGTAAACAGTGCTGATTTTTTTAGTTGAAGGGTTTTGCCTCAAAAGTCAAAAGATTTGTTTTTTTAGAATACAACTGTCTGTCTATATCTACACACTCACACACATACAAATATTAGTTGTTGTTAACCAACTGCACATTTGACTAACAGACAAGCGAAAGTCTCTATGATCAAAAACCAGAAGAACCACCAATTCAGTTGCCCTCTGTCTCTGCAAGTAACACCCCTTTAGCTGGTTCATCATTTACTTCCCGATTCGAGTACACAGAAAATGTGCAATCTGTGCAGACGAATACTGGAGGCTCTCGTGTTCTAAACCACATTGCTCCTCCAAAGGCATCCAATTTTTTTGCAGAGTATGGGATGGACAGTGGTTTTACTAAGAAGACTAGTTCTAATTCATCAAAAGTCCAGGTAACACGTGATTTAACAAAAAAAACCATTATGACGTTGAAGTGTTCTAATCAAGGATCTTGTGTGTATATTACACCCCCTCCATCTCTCTCTCTGGATATGTGTAAATGAGCTTGTAATAGCTCCGTATATGTTGTATAGATCATTAATTTTGAGAAATTTTCTATGTATCAGGTTGAGGAAACTGATGAAGCAAGGAAGAAGTTCTCTAATGCCAAATCTATTTCGTCAGCACAATTTTTTGGGGATCAACAGAAAGCTGATGCGGAAGCTACGGTTTCCCTGCAAAAGTTCTCGGTATGCTTTGTTATCCCTTAAATATATTACGCCATTTCTCCACCCTCTAGTGGCTGTATATGCTTATAACTTGATATCGTCATTCCAAACCGAGTTGTTCAAAGTTCAGTCTCTATAAGTTCACACCTTTTTCCAAGCGCTCTCAATGTACAACTTGTGAGTTACTCCTTTGACTATTATAGTCTTTAACTTGTTATCGTAGCTGACATTTGGCACACTGTCAGGTGGTTTCTTTTTTGACATTAAGTCAACCAATCTACCTCATTTTTGGCACATAGGTTATGCTTAGAGTTCATATAATTGCCCCTTCAAATTGTTTTTATGTCAAAGCCAAGTCTTCATGAATTACTATAATTTTTTTGTTGTAACTACAATTTTTTGTTATTTAAATTGGTTGTCATTCTTATTCTTGTTAATGTGACAAGCATTATTGTTGTCATCATCTTGCAATTCCATTTCTTTTTGAAGAGTGATCCCAGTTTTCTGGACTGACTATTGATGTTGATGCCAATAAATTGTGATTTCTACTACTCAGGGTTCAAGCTCAATCTCCAGTGCTGACCTATTTGGTCATGATGATGATAGATTGGCCCTTGATGTCACTGCAAGTGACCTCATAAACCGTCTCTCTTTCCAGGTACAGAGGCTTCATATGCGTTCGCTTGCGGTTTTTATTTCTCACGCAGACTTCATTCTTTTTATTTCTTTTGGATTCATTGGGAACTGTTTGGGTTTTATGTCGCGTTTATTATTTTCATTTTCAGGCACAACAAGACATCTCCTCCCTTAAGAATATTGCTGGAGAAACTGGAAAGAAGCTGAGTTCTCTGGCTTCCAACTTGATATCAGACCTCCAGGATAGAATTCTGTAATTGTTTTTTTTTTTAAAAAAGAAGAAAAAGTAAACCAAAAACTCGAGTTTGTGTCACATACTTGCGGACATTCTATGTAGATGTAAGAAAGAGCCTTTTGAAATTCTTTATTACTAAGAGGGGAAAAAACAAACAAGACATTGGTACCTGCAGAACACATTAAATACTTGTTTCTGTTTTGTACTGTAAAATGTTGAATATATGTATGGTTTTCGTTCTTTTTATTGCTTTCTGGCTTTCTTTCAAACAAATTACGTACTAGAACTTTTGATAGCTTTTGCAAAAGAATATTTGTATCTTTATGAATTTTTATTATTATTTCTTACATTTTGTGTGTATGTATGGTGGTGGTCACATTTAAGGTAAAATTATTTAAACAGAACTAAAAGATAGACATTTTTCCCTGAAAAGGACAATGTGTTTTTCATTCCACAACATAGGATCTAATTAGTTACAACGTAATAATCATTTTATTATTATAAATGTGCCACAATATCCATTTAGGTTTAAAACTCTAATTTATTACTTTATCCAACACAGTCGCCGCATACTGCCATCACAACCGTCAAGCACAGCCCACCGCCCACCACCACCGCCTGCCATGTCTTTTTATCATTAAAGGAGAAGAAGAATGTCCATAGCATTCAATCGTCCTTCACCATCCTTTGTGATCTATTTTCATTGTAATCTCATTCACCCCAATTTTCTAAAATAATGTCTTCTGTAATAAGGTCCTCTACTGCATAGACATTGCCTACTACGGAGATAGTGTTTAATGTCCTTGCAGTAACGAAGAGTAACACTAAAAGTTCAAGAGAATGAAGACATTCTCAAAACAAAAAAAAAGATTATCTAGATGATTGCTTTAATTTGGTTGTCCCTAAATGTTGAAGCATAATTGCGCAACCAAATGATCAGGAAAAAAAATAACTTGACAGTGAAGCAAAGTTTTTACCAAAAACAAAGATGATGATGATGATGTTGTCGGGCGGTGGTGGTGAGTGAGGGGGCGTGCAACGGGGACTGAGGAGAAGGTCTTAACATGTGGTTGTAGGTGGAAAAGAGGCGTGACGATGTTTGGGAAGAGATTGGTCGAGAAGTGGCGGTGGTAGAAAAAAATTAGGGTTTGGGAGGGTTGTTGAGGGGCGGCCCAAAGTAATAGCCCAAAGGAGAGGCACGGTGAACTGAAAGGTGAAATTCGGACAGATAAATATGCAGGCTCGATTCCTTTCTTTACAAGAAACGCTAATGAAAGAGACCCGGCCTACCCTCAGGAGACTGATCAGAACTCGAGGCCCAAGAGCCGATCGGGTCATACTTGGAGGCTAGCTCCATCTTCAAGGGACATATCAGAGGGCAGACTAAGAGTCACTCTGTCTCGGCTCAGTCACTTCGAGGTTACATGTCATTGAGGACATCTGTACAAGACCTTAAATACTGAGGGAAGAAGGGGATTATTTCTAGAGGTGTATAAGAAAGAGAATATCACTTGCATTGAGGGAAACATTTTTAATCGTGTTCAAGGAACTCGGTCGCCCATACGTTATATACAATAAAGTATCCACTCACACCATAACATTAGAATGTCCTTGCGATTATCCCTCTTACGTACTCATTTCTCATTCTCTCATCTTTACATCGGTCTAAATGAAAATGTTAGTGTTTTGGTCCACCTCCAAAGTATTAACTCCAATATTGGCCCCACCCGTGGACCCGGTTCAAAAAGAAGCCAAAAGAAAAAACGAAACCATACCGTTTGAGACTCATCTAGCAAAAGAAGCTCCAACTATTCGCCCTCATCCAATAGTGCGCTGCAGACCTTCGTGATTCCTTATCTTCTACAAAGCAGAGCACCAAACCAAGGAAGGAACATCCTTTGATCCTGATTCTAACGTATGATTTAGGCTCTCTCCCAACTCTCTCCCTCTCTCTCTTTCTCTCATTTTTTGGATTGATCTTTTATGATCCGCAAAATCTTTTTTAGACGAAACCATTCAATTTTCTTACAATGCAGGTATAGATAGAAATACAAATCGTAGAGTCGAGAATATGACGGATCCGAGTGTTTCCAATTTCACAATTCAAGAACACATTCGTCGTTGATGTGAGTGGTTGATATCTTTCTCTTCCTAAACTTATTCTATAAACTATAGTTTGGGAGAAGGGTTTTGTAAGGATTAACGATTGAGAGGGACAACACAATGACATTGAGCTTGGGTGGTGATGCCTTGTGTGGCATGTTTATGCATTACTTTAGTTTAGATTTTTCTTTTGTTTATATCTGCTTTAACTTTCTTTGTTTAATCATATGGATCTTACAATTCTTTATAATTTTATTCCTTAGAGAGGTGTCTAGCAATTCTTTATTATTTTTATGGAGTGTGTATTATATAATACGGAGTACTTGCTACTCTGCACTATGTACAAATTGTAGTGCAATATGTAGTTGTAAATTCTACATAGCCGTTACCCCCCCAAAAAAAAATCTAAATTAAAAAAAAACTTATAAATTCCCCTCAAAACAAACCTATCTCTCGCACATCTCTCACTATATTCTCTCTACAATTCTATCAATCTTTCAAATATTTGATTATTTATTATAAATATTTATAAAATATATTTTAAAAATGGGATCATCTTCATCCAACGATGAAAAATGAGCTCTCATTTTTCGTTGTTTTGCCACGACTTGTGTTCAATGGTGGGAACAAGGCGAAAAAGAAGCCGAATCCTCCCAATGACGGACTCGGACCCGACGACAACGTTTAAACCGGGATCGAGCGGCCGCCCACGCTTCACTTTTCAACGACTACTTTAATACTCCGTGTGTTTATACACCGAAGGATTTTAGTAATCATTTTCGGATGAGTCATCCTCTCTTTTTACGCATACTCGCCGATGTTGAACGCGAGGTGCCTTGGTTCACCCAACGCTTTGATGCGAGAGGCCGACGCAGGTTTAGTAGTGTCCAGAAGTGCACTGCCATGCTCCGTCAGATGGCGTACGAGATGACATCTGATATGTTCGACGAATACTTGAAGATGTCGGCTCGGAGCATCAGGTCCTGTGTTTATAAATTTTCTAAAACTATTATTCAAATTTATCATAAAAGATATTTACGCAAGCCTACAGCGAGCAACATTCAGCAGTTACAGGCAAGGCATGCCGCTAAACACGACTTTGTCGACATGCTTGGAAGTATTGATTGCACGTATTGAGAATGGAAAAATTGTCCCACAGAGAGAAATTTTGAAGTCGCGAGGCTTCAAGAGTATTTCAAGTGCTCTTAACTTGAGCCCGTGAAAAGTGTTAATGATAAGTTAGTCTCCTCCAACCTGCCACATTTATTCAAAATTTGTCTAAACCTAAATGGCGGGATGCTTTTATTAGTTTCAGCAATCCCGCCTTTCTCAGATTAATTGCGGCCTACAGCTGTATTAACGAGGACCAAAAACAAAAAAACAAAAATCATTTCAATTTCAGTCTTTCCCCCCTTTCTCGTCCTTCTGAAATTCCCCAAATTATTTGCTGTTCAATCTTTCCCTCCACATTTTCACTCTCATTCCCAAAGTCTTGAATGAAAACCCTCCCATCCCTCTCCTCCCATATCCATTTCTTCCAGAACGTTTATGCGAATTTTTGAGTTCCGATGGAAACCCAATCCTCAGAAACCCTAGAAGCTCCGTCTCGAGAACTCAGTTGCCCCGGTTCGCCCAATACCCGGCCCGGATCTCCGATCACTTCGTCCGGTGAGGTCAATGTGGACTCTGGTAGCACGCCGGATTCCGATAATATATTGGATTGGGATGATCAGATGGAAAGAGAAGTTCCTCAAGACGAGAGGCATTCAATCGTGGTTAGTTACTACTCATTGCAAAACTTTTTTTACAGATCTATTCCTGGTTCGCTTGAGCTTGTTTCCAGTAACCTTTGATTTCGCAATCATTTTTTGGGTTAATCAATGTTTACAGGGCGGGGGATTTTCTAATCTGGGCAATACCTGCTTTCTAAATGCGGTTTTGCAATGCTTCATGCACACAGTCCCTGTTATTGAAGGCCTACTAGGTCTCCATCATCCGTCTCCTTGTGATGGTATGAACCTTTAAACCCACTTGAGAACAGTAGTTTTGCTATGTACAATGATGATTTGCATTTATTGATGGATTAGTTAATGGATTTTGAACATGATTTTATTAAATATCATTTTACAGAATTTACCGTAATTTGCAGGCTATATTAAAGAGTTCTGTATGATTTGTGCTCTAAAGGAGCTTGTGGGAAACTTATTTGCTTCCGATGGCAGTACTGTCTTCCCTTGGAAACTCGTCAACAATTTAAACTGTATCCTTTTGTAAATATTCTGTATTTCTATAATTCTATGGATGGAATTTTAATTTAGTCCTCTTGTTTCATTTTCATGTTTTATTTTTCATAATTTTCCACCATTTTTAATCTAGCCTATTAGTATAATATTTTTCCTTCATTTTTTTCTTCCAGAAATGGAGTTAATATGATCATTTTGTTCCTAAGATTACTAATCCACCTGTGTTTGATTTCTTGCGGGATCAATTTAACCAGTCATCTCTTAAGATAAAAGAATAAATACTCCGTATCATTATCTTTTGCCCAAAAAATAAATTTCAATAGTTAGACAATTATTTCTGGGTTATGTTTAGATCATGAAAATGATAGAGAAAAGGAAAATAATGTTAAGAAAAACTATTTGGGTATGATTATTTTTATCACTGAAAATAGAAAGAAAAACTAAATACCCTTAGTTTTTATTTAACATTTCACACACATAGGTTTTTCAACAACAATAGCAACAATCTCACTCAAATTCCGCAGAAGAGGTTCTGAAAGAGTGGATAATCATACAAAAATAATTTCTCTTAACATTGTTTTCTTTTCCCAATCATTTTCATGATCCAAACACAACCCAACAATAGATTATCTGACTAATGAAATTTATACCTTTTATATTTAGAGTTGACTGGTGAAATTGACCCTATAAGAAATCAAACACTTGGTTGGATTATTAAATGAGTATTCTCGAACTAAACAACATTTATTAGCCCATCTTTTGTTCCCGTATGTTCTTTCTTTCCTATTTGTCCCCCACCCGGCACCCACTTCTTCCCTTGCTGTTTTGTTTCTCTAGTATTTTTTGGGTTCCAAACATACAATATTGTTGTTTGAAACCAAAGTGCTATACGAGTAAAACCAAATTTGTTCTTCACTATCCTGTTGATAAAACTCTTTATATTTTCATATATGATGATCCTATTAAAACTAAATATTCATTACTCAATAATGGAATGATGGATGGATCTGGATCTTCAGGTTTCCCTGTGAAATTGCTCAGATCCGTTCATTAAAAAAGTCCAGTTAGATTCTTGATTAGAGACTCCCTATTGATTGCTCTATCGATCATATGTGGTGAGAACCAAAGGACATAGAATGAAAAGAGCAAGATATGGTAATATCATTTGATTAATCCTAATTTTTTTTGCAGAATGGTAACATTTTTTATAATTTTGAAAATGTATTAATACTGACCAAACAGAAATACAGTAGCAAATCTGTGATAGGGAAAAACATAATCATTTACATGGTAGTCTCTATTTACTGAAAATATTCTGCATTGGCATTACAAACAATTTTAAACCGTTATGGAGCATTTTATTTTCATCCTTAACTTTTATAATCCAGACTTTTCATCTAGTTTCCAGCGTTACCAACAGGAAGATGCTCATGAATTCCTCCAGTGTTTTCTGGATAGACTTGAAAGCTGCTGCAAGGATACGAAGCAGAAGGAATCAATGCCCCCACAATATGTCAACCTTGTCACACAGACCTTTGGAGGTCGCCTCGTTAGCAAAGTAACCACTCGAAAAACACTTTGATTTGCACTCTTACTTGCGCCATAGATGGCTAATCATCGATAAACAATTTTCATTATTTGCAGCTACGGTGCTGCAATTGTGGTCACTGTTCTGACACGTACGAGCCCTTGATTGACTTGAGTTTGGAGATCGAAGACGCAAACAGCATTCCTGCTGCTTTGGAGTCTTTTACAAAGGTTGAAAATATTGAAGATCTGGAGACAAAGTTCACATGTGATAATTGTAAAGAACAAGTGCTGGTTGAGAAGCAGCTTTTACTGGATGAGACCCCTTCGGTAGCTGCATTTCATTTGAAGAGATTCAAAAATGATGGTTCTGTTGTTGAGAAGATTGACAGACATGTTGCATTCCCACTTGAATTGGATTTGCTTCCATATACTGCTGTAAAGAATCAAGGAAGTGAAGTGAGTTTCTACTTTATTGCATTCACATAGCTTGTGCACTAGTTCTGATTCATCTGGCATAATATTTTAACTATGATTAGTTCTTGGTCTTATTGATTTGTATGCCACCATCTACTCACCCCTTGTTGGATTTTTTGTGGGTCAAGAGAATCATGTGGAGTGTCGGGTGGGATTTACCAATTTTTCATATAAAGTCGGGATTTACTTTCTAACCCAAAAGCTTAAGCCAATAGGTAGTGCTTCACCTTTCTTTATATGAGAGTAATATTTGTTACAGTTATCTGGTGTGGGATGCTTGCCCAACACACGGACTCCCAACACCTCCCCATCAAAACAATAGTAAAATATTTCCTAGGCTTGCTGAATACTTGCCGACGTTCAACTTATATGAGAATTGATCTGCCTAGGTGACTGAAACAACCTGAAAACACAATGTTGCATGGTTGCTATTACTCTATTAAACACATCTCTTATCCTCTTTTATGTTTCATATGCAGGGAGATTCAAAATATTATCTTTATGCTGTTTTGGTGCATATTGGATTCTCATCTTGTTCTGGGCACTATTACTGCTTCATCCGTGCTGCTCCAGATGTGTGGTACAAATTTGATGACTCCCAGGTATATCCCATTCTAAAAGGTTTCACCTTTTAGTTTTGATCTTCAAGAGCGAATCGTTTCATACTGCTTATTGATATGCTGGACATCAAGATTTGAAGCTACTGATTTGATTTGTAGGTGACCTGTGTTACAGAAGATTATGTCATGTCTCAAGAGGCATACATTCTTTTCTATGTGAAATCGGGCATTCCATGGTTTTCAGATTTTATCGAAACGCAAAAGCTCTCTATATTCAAACCCGTCTTTAACACTTCTCCCAAGTCAGTCCTAGAGAACGTGGATGCCACCACCGTCCCACCACGAACGTGTAGCAATGTTGCTGACATGGCATCACCAACAAGGTTTTGCGAAGAGAACCATGACAACTTCAAGGAAAGCAAAGAAAATGTGGGCCCACAGATGATGTCCCCTCCTGCATTTCCTGTTGAAACAAGGTACTCGGATGCCTCAACTTCTGCAGAAGTTGAGGTAATGCTTTCTCCATCTCCACTGAGAGAGAGGAGCAGACAGTATAATGGCATTTCTAAGCTGCGTGCGTATATGACTCCGAAAACACCAACAAGATCTCCAAGCCCAGATGATATATACAAAGATGAATCCCCCGGTAGAGTTACTGTGAATTTAATGCTATTTCTGTCGATTTTTTTAAGAAACAGAACGGATAGGGAATAGAGTAATAAAAAAGTCTCCGTTTTTTGAGCTGCAGAAAATGTCTATTCAATCCCTCGCGGGCATTTGCGTGTGGTGGATCAGAGTTCTGGTCGAAAAAGAGATTCCCAGAAGGAAGCAGAGGCAGACGAGGAGAGAAAGCATGCACTTTTGCTGGTCAAGAAGACAGTGCGCGGCTCAAGAGGGCATCAATTAATGGCTGCTCTGAGAGGAACACAGAGCGAAAGCTCTGTCGACAAGAAGAGGAGAAGAGTGATCGCTTCTCCCCCACTCAAAGAAGGCAGCAACAGTTCTAACCCTTTTCACAAATCCCGTCATCCATCTGGTTCATCACGTCCTATAATAGCCAGTGGCCCTAGATGAATTTCAATTTCACTTGTACACACCAATATATATAATTAGCGAAGAAGCCCACCAGTCATTGAATTGTCTGGGGAGTTTTGGTATTATAGAAGAGATCGTAGCTGATCATTCCAGAAAAAAACAGTTTTAGCTTTTAGAGTAAATTGAATTGTTTAGGAGAAAGATTGGGAATGAGAGGCGATGAAAGGAACATAAAGATGAATGCCATGGCTTACATTACATATGTGTGTATCGAGAAGTGGCGACACCAATGGATTCGTTTCAAGTGTGTTTGTTGCACGCTCGTTGAATGAATTCAATGTATTGGAGTGGACGGTGGTGTAAATTTGCCCCCACCAATACCATCAAGAGCCCAACAACCCCCACACATACGCATGGGCGGATCTATAGTATACTCTTTAGGTAGGGCTTGTTCTTTAGGACAGTAAAAAAAGAGCTAGATGTTGGAAGAAACTGGAAAAAATTGGAAGAAACTGGAAGGAACTGGAAGAACGGGAAGAAACTGGAAGGTACTGGAAAAAACTGGAAGTAATTGGAAAAAACTGGAAGGAATTGGAAAAAATTGGAAGAAACTGGAAGAAACTGAAAAAATTTCAAAAAATTGGAAACCTAAAGAAACTTTAAAAATATTTATTTTAAATTGTTGTTATAAATTATTATTATTATTATTATTATTATTATTATTATTATTATTATTATTATTATTATTATTATCATCATCATCATCACCACCACCACCACCACCATCATCATAATCATTTATATAATCATCATCATAATCATCAATATAATCATCATCATGTTATCTTAGTGGATATATTTAAGATATAAAAAAATGTATTGTTATTTTTTAAATAGAAAAAAAAAATTTCAAAAAATAATTATAATATAAAGTTAGCATAAATTTAAAAATATTAAATTTTAAAAAGTCTGTGTAGTTGTATTACACCTTAATTTATTTATGCAGTATTAATTATAAATAATATATTTGTAATTATAATTTATATATTACAACATGTTGTTTTAAATATCATACATGTCACATAATCAAACCTATTGTTTCTTTCATGACTGACATTTTATTTTCATTGAATTTATATTTTTGGAATAAAGACACAGAACTTTTTTGTTTACATTTTTTATGTTTTACTCATATTTTAGTCTTTTTCTTTAAGCTCTTTTTGACTTACAATTTTTTAAGTAATAAATAGAAAACTGAGATGTCTTATAAAAAGTTATATTAATAAAACATTCAATGTAACTATTTTATCCATAATTATTTAGTATAATTTAACATATTGATGTTTTCATGTTTTATCATTTAGACTAATATACAAAAAAAATATCTTATTCATATTAAAAAGTTGAAGAAAAAAATAATAAGTGTGAATCGTAAAAAGAGTGAGATGAAAAAAATAATTTATAAACTATAGTTATGAATATAACAGTTGTAATAATAATAATAATCACATTAAAATATATTATTTTTAGATTAATTGGTTAAGGAGTAGAAAGAATTGGAAGAAAATGAGAAAAGTTGGAAGAAACTGGAAAGAACTGGAAGAAACTAGAAGGAACTGGAAAACTGGAAGGAACTGGAAGAAACTAGAAGAAACTAGAAGGAATGGGAAGAAACTGAAAGTTAGTAAAGAGTAATAGTTAGGAGAAGACCCTCTATTACTAGCATAGGTAAAAAAAAATTAAGACTTAGCATTAGAAAGTAGAAATGCAAGGTTTAAAGTGGAGCTTCAAATTTTTTAACACGTTTGTGTCACATAAGCTTTGACTGATAGGTCAAGGATACCTACAGTAGGAGAACTTCGAGTGACTCCTTACTCCGTGCGTGTTTACAACCCAGAGGGAAGAGAAGGAAAGGGCAAAAGGCTAGAGGGAAGAAGAGAGAAACGACAGTGGAAGGAGAAGAGAAAGCCACACGGCTGGGAAGGAGAAAAGATTGAGGGAAATAATGATTGCTTATTATTGATAATGATAATCATCTCTATTTATAGTAGAGACTCCCCAACCTAATTACTACGTTCTCTATCCTGACAGTTCAAGAAAAAGCGACGAGGTAAAGAACCGTAAAGAAACCCTCGAAGGAGCTTATAGTTCCGCTCACCTAATAAAATCTAAGTACAAGAATAATAAGAATAAAAAGAACAAATTATTAATTAAGTTCAAACTCCCGCTGCCAAGCCGGTGCGCGCCTAGGTCTCGTACTCTGGCGCCTTCCTCCTTTGCTAGTCGTCTGGCATGCTCAACGGTGGCCTGCGAGCCCGTAACACTCCCCCGCCCTTCAACAAGCATCTTGTCCTCAAGGTGTAGCTGCGGAAAATGTTGACGGATGCTCGAAGCGGGCTCCCATGTGGCGTCATCAAGTGTGCCATCACTCCAACTCACCAAATATTGCTCCTCAGGCGACCCATTCCGAAGCACCGTGAGCACACCATGAACAACGATGGGCGTGGAAGAAGGCCGACCGTCCAAAAAAACATCAGGAAGAGGCAACATCTTATATTGTAACATGGCGCCACGAAACGGCCGTAAAACTGAAACATGAAACACTGGATGAATTTGCGCCCCATCTGGCAACTTCAAACGATAAGCCACTGGGCCAATTCTCTCCAAAACCTCATAGGGCCCATAAAACTTTAATGCCAACTTTTAGGACGAACGTCGAACCACAGAATGCTGCCGATAGGGTTGGAGGCGCAACAATACCAAATCCCCAACCCGAAACTCCACGTCCCTGCGTTTGGCATCCGCTATCTGCTTCATCCGATGTTGAGCTTGCAAAAGGTGATGACGCAATTCCCGCAGGAGAGTATCACGCTCAGCGAGAATGTCATCTAGGGCTGGTGCACGACTGGTCCCGGGGCAATAAGGAACCAAATCAGGAGGTGGACGCCCATACAGTGCCTGAAAAGGCGTCATGCGAAGCGCCGAATGATAGCTCGTATTCATGGAATACTCTGCCCATGGAAGAAGAACTGTCCAACGCTTCGGCCGCGCATGCGTGAAAGACCGTAGATACTGCTCCAGTGTTCGATTCATGACCTCCGTCTGACCATCCGTTTGCGGATGAAACGCAGTGCTATGCCTCAATGTGGTGCCGCTAAGATTATGCAACTCACGCCAAAAAGTGCTGATAAAAACCTTATCTCGATCCGAGACAATCGTGCGAGGGATGCCATGCAATTTAACCACGATGTTGGTAAATAAGAAGGCCGTGCGATGAGCATCGTATGCAGCCGGCAATGCCCCTGAAGTGAGTGTACTTGGTCAGTCTATCAACAACGACCATAATCACAGAGAACCCACGGGACACGGGAAGTCCGGTAACAAAATCCATGCTTATGTCCTCCCAAACGCGCTGTGGAATAGGTAGCGGTTGAAGGAGACCCGCCGGTGGTAGCGTGGGGGATTTGGCTTTCTGACACACCTCACATCGGCCGACATAAGAACGAACATCCTTGCGCATTAAAGGCCAATAAAAAGTCACGGCCAGACGGGAAAAAGTACGATGAACACCCGTGTGTCCCACAATCGGGGAATCATGATACTCCCGTAGAAGCTCCGTACGTAAGGAGGAAGCCCCGCCAACACACATCCGGGTTCGATAAAACAGCACACCATCCACCACCAAGAAAGGGGCAGGGAGAGAGCCTTGACGGTGAAGCTCGTGCAAACGGACGAGGTCAGGCTCGGTACTATTTTCTGCCCGAATGCGACCAAAAATCTCAGGAATAGGTTGTGAAAAATTAAAAAACTAAGCTGCCCCAATGGTTGTAACTCCAGCCGATGCACCCTGCTCCAAGTGTTGCCGCGATAATGCATATGCCACTACATTCGTTCGGCCCGGCTTATACTCAATGCGAAAACGATACCCCATAAGCTTGCGGATATAAAACTATTGATCGGGCGTTTGAATGACTTGTTGCAAGAGTTCTCTCAAACTACGCTGATCCGTACGTATCAAAAATTCACGCCCCAATAGATATTGTCTCCATTTTTGAACAGCCTCGACTATGGCATAAAGCTCCTTGTGGTACGTGGACGCCGCTAATCGCCGAGGACCCAATTTCTTACTAAAGTAAGCAACGGGCTGCTCTTCTTGGAGAAGGACCGCACCAATGCCGGAGGACGATGCATCGGTATCAACGACGAATAACAAAGAGAAGTCCGGTAATCACAACACCGGGGCTATCGCTAGGGCCTGCTTGAGGAGCTCAAAAGCTTGTGTAGCAACATCAGACCAATGAAAAGAATCCTTTTTTAGGAGGTCAGTCAGCGGCGCGGAGACGTGAGCATAATTTTGAATAAACCGACGGTAGTAGCCCGTTAAGCCCAAGAAACCGCGAAGCTGTTTGATAGTTTTAGGCAACGGCCATTCCAGCATGGCCGCAATTTTGGCGTTATCTACCAGAAGACGCCAAGCACTGATGACATGCCCCAAATAATCAATTGATTTCACACAAAACGAGCATTTAGACGGCTTGAGAAAAAAGTGATTTGAGCAAAGCAACCCCAGGGTGACTTCGAGGTGGCGGCCATGATCCTCCAATGACGAGCTGTATATCAAAATATCATCAAAAAAAACAATGACAAATTTCCGTAAAAATGGGGCGAACAGCTGATTCATACACGCTTGGAAAGTTGAGGGGGCATTCGTGAGACCAAAAGGCATCACCCGAAACTCATAGTGGCCTTCATGGGTACGGAAACCCGTTTTATAGATATCTCGATCGTACATACGAATCTGATGATACCCCGAGCGAAGATCAAGCTTTGTGAAGAATCTAGCGGAACCCAACTCATCAAACAACTCGTCTGCGGTTGGAATAGGGAAATGATCCGGTATAGTAACCGCATTCAATGCGCGATAATCAACACAGAATCTGTACGTGCCGTCTTTTTTTTAACCAGCAGGACTGGAGACGAGAAGGGACTCCGACTCGGCTGAATCAACCCTTGATCAAGCATTTCCCGAACCAAACGCTCAATTTCGGCCTTTTGAAACTGAGGATATCGATAAGGACGAACGGAGACTGGTTTGGACCCGGGTTGAAGAAATATCCGGTGATCACTAAAACGGCGAGGCGGCAGGCCGGTCGGTTCCTCAAAAGCTGCTGGAAAACGCCGGAGTACGGTAAGATT